ATTGTAAGATGATTATGAAGCTTTGAGCATCCTTATGTCCAACCCCAAGGAAGAACTCATGGAAAGATCAAGTTCATGGGCCCTTTTTGCACATTTTGAGTTGTATGTGTGTGAAAGGTGCTTTATTTAGTTGTATACAAACTAAATGTGGAGGACTACTATTTTTATAAACCATGTTTTTTATTTTTATTTTGATGCAGGTTCTTCACCTCACATCTTTGTAATTTTGAGTATGTAGTTATTTGGAAATATGTTAACACACCATTATTACAAAGGTTCATAGAAAATGTTTGATGAATTGGAATGTTGAATGTATTGAACAGTTAGGGTTGTCCTAATTTTTCAGGTGCCAAGGGCCTCACTGGATGGACTCTGATGTGATCTAGCACCACATTGGAGTGCTTAGTTGAAAAATGGCGTAGTTGCTTTAAGCAGATGACATAATTCATTTTTCGATTACCATTTCGCGAGCTAATAGCTTTATACAATGGAATTTGTTTTAATTTTGCCACAACTGATGGCATTGAGTTCAGAATTTGCATAAGCATATACCCTCATTTAATTATATTATTTATTATTTATCCTTGCAATATTGTTCTAGACATGTACAAAATGTCAATTGAATTGTAGTAATATGATATGTTACTTGTAAAACATTTTTTGTTTTTCTTGAAATTTTTATTACATGTATGATTTTTTATTTTTTTTTAGAACCAAGTTATTTTTGTTGCATACACCTTTGTCAGTAATGAGTGTTTTGAATACAGGGTTGTGCCGTAACATTTTTTATTGAAGAAGTTGTAAAAATTAGAAATGAAAACATGTTTGGTAAGGGTATGATTGGTAGTGTATTTGTTTTCTATTATTGTTTTTAACAATTTTGAAAACTAAAAGTGAAAACATGTTTGGTAAAATTTTGGAAAGAAGTGTGGTTAGCTTTGACTGCAATCACCCTTGACAATTCCACTGCTGCTGCTTTGTCCTTGTGGTTGTCCAAACAAGACCACTACCCAAAGAACAATTCTGTCTGTTCAATATCAACTAACATGCGTTCAAAAAAGGAAAAAAAAAAAAAAGTACTAACATGAAAGCAATTTTACATGATAATAATGACAATAATGAAAATAAGGTGAAGAAAAAGAATCACTTCCCAAGAAAGTCATAAACCGTATGAAAAGAATTTCACACCACCAGCAATGTAAAATGCAGGCCTTGATATTATACAGGTCTTAATAAAATTTTAATAAATAAAAAATGGCCATATCCATTGCTCAGAGGACAATTTGCAGAGCAAGAAATCTTGAGAGTTAATTTTGATTTTTAAAAAATCGAAACAATATGATTTTTTAATACATGAGTGAGCAACCCTTATAGCAAAGCTAACAAAGTACAAATTTGTCTATCACAAGGGCATAATGACAATACAAGCCCCCATAGAATATGAAGAGACATAGAAAGAGAGAGAGAGAGGGAGAGAGCATTGACCTTTGAAAAAACATAAACATAGAATCAGAAAAAAGTTGAAAAAAAAATTAGATACTTATTTGGCGTGTTAAAATATAAAAAATAAAAAATTAGAAAAAAAATTAATTTGGATACTTATTTTGCGTATCCCTTGCGTATCCCTCATGTGTCTTGCCGTATTCTTCAAGTACGAAGGGTGTATCCCTCTAATATCCAAAATTTTAAAAAATAAAAAAAATAAATCGGATACTTATTTGCCATATCCAATACGTATCCCACCATATCAGACCTGTATCCGTATCTAACAAATATTTGATACTCGTACTGTACCTTTTTTGGAGTATCCTTGCTTCATAGCGTCATATACACTAGCCACCATACAACCTACATAAGAGCATCAAACTAGTTAATTTTTGTTATATATTAGTTCAAAAGTTACTTTATCTATTTTGGCTATACACATTTTAAATACACTCTCCAATCAACTGTCTATCATTTTACCATGCTATTTGAACATTATTTTTATTAATTTTAATATAAAATTATTTTTATAAACTTTACACAACTAATTCTAAAATATCAAAAGTAATATTTTTTAATGTTTGACTACTCCAAACCACTAGCTACATTTGTTAAGCTAAAATTAAAATAACTAACTTAATAGCTAGTTTGATATAATTAAAATTTAAGGATTTACTCACTATTTTAACTAAAAAATAAAAATAACTAGGTTGATGTAGATACTATACAATATCAATCTCCAAAGCTACTCAATTAAAGCAGCTTCCTGTGATCCTTTCTTTGTCCCTTGTATGTTATGTTAGTCCATGTCATACTAACTAAAGAACCTCTAATTCCTACCAAGTTGATGCCTATTATTAGCTGAATGAGGCACAGTTCTTACATGGCCTTAGTAAATTTTACTCCTTTGGTGCAACTGGTTGTCATTGCTGCAAGTTTGCAACCAACAGATAGCAAGACAAAGGTCCTCCTTTGATTGGGTATACAGGTGCACAATTGCTTATGGGACAGGCAGAGGTAGATTTGATTCAAGGTTTCACTAACGTATGTTTCTGCAGTAACTTTCCCACCAGTTTATCTAATCTCACTCTTTTCAATTACCACCACCATTTAGGCACAACCCTAACCCAGCAACACCAATGAACTTCAATATTACAGTATCACTTCTTCAAAGTAAACCACCTCAGCCATATAGCCTTTTCACTATAAACATCCACCATTCCTTCAGTAACTCATAATCATTTACATCGCACAATCAGTAACTAAGATAACCACAATAGTCATCGAGATATGAAACCTTCAACTCCTCTCACAATTACTGTCACTGCAATTCTACCTCGCATAAAGATACCATTTGGGAACCAAGTTTTATACTTTTAAGGGAATTGTAACTACATTGTATACTACATGACAGGTTCCAACGAAATCCAAAATTTATATGAGATAATGAGCATCAAGAACAAAGAGTTTAACTGCATTTGCATGCTAAAGGCAACCAAGGGTTACTACCATTCCCAATATACAGATGACACATTGAATTCCACGACAGAGATTGTTTGGGATGAACTATATAAGTGTACTTTTTTGACTTTTTGGCTAAAAAAGTAGAGGAAAAAAATTGTATGTTTGAGATAACTTTTTGATTTTTTACGAAAAAATGTGTATTAAAATATTGTATCAACTAGCAAAATTACCTTCCTAACCTTCTGAACACTGACATGTTCTCCGTGCATGTTAGTTTCACTCCCACGTGAGTGCACTGTGCCGCACTGTTTTTTTGTTTCACCAAAAAGTACACTGTTGGAAGGGACAAAACCAAGGGTATTTCTGTCTTTTTACCCTTTGCCTATCAGCCTTTTTTTATTTTATTTTATTTTTTTTCCGTCCATACATGTGAATAGTGTTAACTTTTTTACTTTTTCAGTAACCTTTTAACTTTTTATTTTTTTTAGGGATGCCAAACACCTAAGTAAAAGAGAACACACATGATCAAACAACATAACTTCAACCTAATGGGAAAGCTTAAAAATCCACAATCAGAGTGCTGTCTTATTACATTTTTCAAGTATGTTTAGTTTTTCTCAACCAACGTGGATCACAAAACACAACAAAATTCAGTGTCACCATTTAGGATTGAATTCAAATTGATTCAAGTTCGCAGCAACAAGAAATAAATTAACGACAATACATTTGTAACGAAACGTAAATGTAATACAATAATATAACTTTTGCTTTAATTCAACGAAATAGTTGCATTCAGTAAATCATGATAGGATGAGGACTGAAAAAAAGTTCAAATTTTGATTTTTTGTTTCTGTTACTATTTTCATCGGAAACAAACAGAGGTGCAAATGAATTAATCAATCACAAGTTTTCAAGAACATCCAAACGCAATGAAAATATAGGTCCAAAATACTTTTGTTTAAATTGCTAATAAACTAATGCATTTTTACAGACATCTTAAATACAATCAAAATTCAAAGAACATAATTAAACCTACAAATCTAATGCCAAAACAATGACATTTTACCATCAACTAGACACCAAGCCCTAGAAGCAAAAATATGGCTCGAAATACTATACTAATGTAAAAAGCCCAATGTCTGAACATAGTCATGAATTATTTCATTACTGAAGTCAACTGAAACATATAAATAACAAAATAAAATAAAATAAAATTTTAGCAATCCTCATTTCAAATGTAAAAATACCAAATCTGTAAGAGCCGAGAAAGATTGGAATCAAAATTCTGAGAGAACCCTAGAGAGAGAGGAGAGTAGAAATCAGAGAAGAGGATTTTACAAGAGGGACGATTTCAGAAATAATCACTCAGTGAGAAAATAGGGTAAAAATTAGAGAATAGGGTTTAGGAGGAGGGTTTCAGAAATAATCAATTGAGAGGCATACCTAGATTTTTCTGATTGTTCAATTTCTTTTTCTTTCTTTGTTGGATTAGGGTTTTAGATAGAGTGAAATTACCCACAGCCACTTCAATCGCACCACCAACTGCTTTGGTTGCAGACGAGATGGAGAGAGGAGAAGAGAGAGCACAACACAGAGAGAGGAGAAGAGATCGATAGCAGCAGAGAGAGAGAGAGAATAGATAAACTAGAAGGATGTTAATCGGTTGCTCCAGTTTTCCATCTTCCACTGTCAAACAAATCAATGGGCAAGATGAAAATTTTGAAATCCAATGGCTCCTAATTGAGGTGCACATGATGTGCAACTTTAAGTGGTTGCAATATTTGTGGTGTAAATAGAAGCTCCCACGGATTTGTTTACCATATTTGTCAAAGTGTAAATAGAAGCTCCCCCGGATTTGTTTACCATGTTTGTCAAAACTTCACAAACGAAGTATAGATCACAGTGGCAGCAACAACAAAAGTTCAGATTCATAACCTCAGATTCATAAAATCTGAAACTGCCAGAAGAAAATTTATTATGCAGAGGCAAGAGCTCAAGTATAATGTGGCTCATTGTTTCTGTTCAGGACACAGTACGATTCTTGTAGAATCTCAAAAGAATCAAAGCAAAAGAGGATATACTTATTGAACCATCAAGAATTCATCAGATGTTGATGAAGCAGGCCGATTGTTTTCGGCTTCATTGTAAGTAGTAGCAATGACACAATGTCGCTTCCTAAATTACAATTCATTGCTTCTTATGCTCTCCCAATGCAATTAACTACAAAGTTTTCAGTTCTAACATGAACATCTAGAGACAGAGAAAGCATAACTTATACAAAAAAACAAAAAAGTGACTCAGAGCAATCCAAGTCTACCAAGTCCAAGGGTCACTAGCCTTGTAAACAACTTTAAGAAAAAGATCCATATTTTACATGTTGAACTAAGAGGTGGAAGATGAGCCAGCCATGGTGCTAACCTTCTTCATGAGGCCTTTTATGTCGTTCTCCAATTTGGCTCTCATCTCTGGTGAAAGATTATTCCCGGCCTTCTCCAGCATTGTTGTCATCATTTCCAAGTTCTTTCTTATATAAGAAAGGTCAGGTGCCTCTTCAGAACGAGATTTCAACCCATAAGGCTTTGCTGGTGGCTTAAATCCATTCAGGCTCTGGGAGGTCACAGCCACGTGCAGATTAGTATCTGCTTCTGAAGCCCTCGAAGCAGCTGAAAGATGGAGACGGTAATTGACTAGGGCCGGCCCAAAGGGCTTGCTCTTTTCTAGACTCCGAAAGGCATTTCTAGCATCAGAACTATTGATGAAGATAACTTGTGCAGTATCAGAATCACCCAATGCCTGCGTTTCTGATTCATTCAATGGCCCAAACCCACAAAATGTAGTAACCAAAGTTTCTTTCGAAGGCACTGGAAATCCCTGATCAAACTTCAAGAAAAGAGCAGTCCCCAAAGCCTCTCCATTTGTCTGTTCTTTATTATGAACAATGATTTCTGGCATCCAAGCAACAGGTTTACTTCTTATTCTCCTCTTGCGCTGGGGTTTACCTTCAGCGGGAGTAGATTTCACCTGGGTTTGATCTCTCTGGCAAATTTTTCTCCAGAGAGCTAGGTTCAGCAACATTTCCATTCAAATCTGGTATGGCAGAACTAACTTTCGTCTTCGGATCGTCCACAACTGCTTTCTCCTTCCTCTTCCTCTTCTTGGGCTCGGGTTTACCACCAGGAGAGAGCATCTGTTGTGGAACTTTGACAAATGAGTTCATTTCAGCATTGTTCCCATTAATATCTGGTTGGTTAGCTGTGAGTACACTATTCAGACAGAATGAATCAGCTTCTTTCATCCCCTCCTCCCTATTATTTTGCTTAGCAATATCTTGGGTTGAAAAAGAACCCATTACTTGTGCATCTTTCAAGAATGACCCAACTTTAGCATTGTTTCCATTCACATCTGCTAAGCCAGCAATACTTTTAGTCTTCGAACACACTGAAGCAGCTCCCTCACTCCTCTTTCTCTTCTTTAGTTCGGGGTTTAGGTGTGCTATGAGGTCACTCACCTGTGGATCTTCTGTTATCACTGAACGTGGTGCAGTACAGTTTCCATTCAAATCGGGCAAGTCAACTGCTACTTTATCCTGCAGAAGCTCTAGAGTTCTTCCGGCCTTCTTTCTCTTCTTAGGTAACAACTTACCGTCTGGTGCAAGACAGTCAGGCTCCTGGAAATTTATTATGAAAGATCCATTTGTAGGATTTCCATTCACATCTGAAAAGACAAGACTAGGTTTAGTATTTGAACTCGTAGTTGCTATTTTCTTCTTGCTACCCACTCTCCGTTTGGAAGTAACATTGGGTACTGGGACGTTCCTCTCATGTGTGTCGTTACCCACTGAGCCAGGACAATCAACATTTGTATTTGTATCTGGTGTGGCAGCAGAAGGCTTAGTTCCCTCGGGTTCTTTAGATTCTTCTGACATTCCCTTGGACTCGTCATGAAACACCAGTCTTCTGAATCCAGAAAAGAATCTCTCAACCGAACTGAAATTTCTATCTTTGTCAGGATAAAGACAATCTAGAGCTGCAAAACCAAGTTCCGAGAGCATATCTGCTGAAGATGCATTAATATCCCCTGGTATACTAAAAGTATTACTCTCAGAAATTGTTTTCTTGGACCTTTTCTTCTGTACCTTCTTGCCACTACAGTTAATTATTGGAGGGGACCCCACAGACTGGCCATCAATGCTGTTATTGTCCTGCACTACATGAGAAACTCCCTTACCATCTTCGGTTTCATTTTCGTTTACAAACGGAGGCGACAAATACTTGCTCCTCCTTCGTTCTCTTGTTTCATAGACTTTTTCAGATTTCCCTCCACTCCTTCCATCATATGCTCTAGTGGAAACTTTGCTCACTTTGGTAGTTGGAGATAATGAGAGGTTGGTCATTTCCTCCGCAGACGAAGAAGCCAATTTGCAAATATCTATATCCGGAACTTCAACACTTACATTTCTAACTTCAGAATCCTTGTTACCCTCTTTGTTCCCAGAGGTTGAGCTTATTCCTCCTTCAGAAAAATCAGTCCGGCATTTCTTAAGAACAGTATTCTTCTCCGTTCTGGAAAGCTTAGCCATGACTTCAACCTTCCTTTCTGAAACTTCAGCTCCATCTTTAAAATCAGTTGTTCCCCGAAGTTGATGCATAGGCACTTGGCAATGCCCTATGGAATGATAGAAGGCTGACAAACGATTTTGGGTAGCAGCAAACTCAAGCATTCCAGGCATAGAACCATGCTGGGCAAGGTTTTTGACATATGCAAGAAAATTCGCAGGTTCAAACTGGGTTACAGAATTTTCATCACACATTTTGTCTTCTGGCATCGAAGTTCTTTCCTGATTTCCACCATTACCAGCCAATGGAGCAGTGGGCATGGTTTGATTTTCTTTCAATTTACAAGAACAAGTCATCCGCAACTTTATACGCCGACCAAACTCATCTACAGCCTTCTTTACAGCACTGAGGAAGTTTACAGAGTTGCTTTGTACTGACATCTGGGCAAAGTTCTCAATGAAAGGCTTCAACTGCAATGGAGAGCACCAAACATAACCACCATGCCCAAAGTATTTGACTAGGAGACAAGTACTCTGATCGGATTTTGGAGCAACCTTTGGTGCATTTGAAGGATCGAAAATCATTCCAGGCCACCAAGACTGAGTTTTGGTTTCAACCCATACAAGATCACCAATAGATAACTCGCATTCTTGATTATAAATAGCTTCTTCATGTTCTCCGAACACATCTATGGTGCCATTTTGTGTCACACCAAGATCGGACTCGTGAATCTCTGAAGCCTTAGGGTTTTCCTCATTACTAGACAAAAAAACCCCATCCTCTGTTGATACAAATTCCCCAAAAACCGCTTCATCTCTTTGTACAAACCCATTGGGCGGACCGAAAACTTCCACAAATAGAGAAAACCCATTTCCAGAAACTTCTATCTTCTTACTTTGATCAACAGCATCATTCAATTGTGATCCATTGTTTCCTTTTATATCATCCTCCATTGCAGTTTCCTCAACTAAAAACTGCACATTCCGGTTAACTTTTGAACTTGCTTTTGGAACCGATAAATCTGCATTCTTCACACCGTTTATCTGAATTTCTTCAGAATCACTCTCAACAGCTTGGATTCCTTTCTCGATATCAAAACCCCGACTCAAAACTTGGACATTGAACCCACCACCATTTTCTCCAACTGAAACATCAGACAGCAGGAGTGACCCAGAATACTTATAACTCGAACTAGAATATTCAGTAGCTTCATCTAGGGTTTTATCACATGGATTTTGAGATTGACCTAGATTGGAAACCAGACCAGCCTTATCTAGAGTTTTTCGGTCTTCCATTTTCAGAAATGTTCCCAAAAGGCATTTAATAGCCGCAGATCAACTACACCGCTGATCAAAAACAGAAAGGAAATTAAAAAAGAAAAAAAAAAAGAAGAAATCAACAACACATCTTAGTATTTGCTATTTATGGACTCATTTTCCAATCAAACCAAAACCCAAAAAAAAAATTTACAAAAAAAATGAAACCCACAACAAAAATCAACAACCACAGAAAAAACGAAAACAAAAACAAAAAAAACGCAAACTTTGAGAGACAGATGTGAAAATCGAAGCAAAAATCGAAGTACCTGGGAAACAAATTCGAGGGCTTTGCATTCTGGAGTAATGGAAGAGTGATCGAGTCTGCGAGAGATCTGCTGAATGAGAAGGGGGAAGCGAGTGAAAATGATGGGAAAGTCGGAGTGTTAGAGAGAGAGAGAGAGAGAGATGCCGATGATACTAAAGAGAGTGTCCTTTTGTTTTTGTATGTGTGGTTGGGCTGGGATCTTATATATATCACTTATTTATTTATTTATTTATTTATTTACTTTAGGTATTCCGTACGTCGACAAATGTGTGAAGCTTTTTAAACGGTAAATTCTACTGACATTTTTGTGATTTGATTCAATTACGTTATATTTTTTGATATTTTAGAAATTATATTTTTACTATTGTAATTAATAGTTTCATTTAATAAACTCTTACTTTTGCAAAAAATAATAATTTTCAATAAAAAAAATTATATTGAAAAAAAAAGTATAGGAAATGGAAAAAAAAAAAAACATAAAAAGTAAAACAAAATAAGAAAAGATAGAGTGAATGAGTTTAATATATTGATTCTGTCTAAATAATTATAATAACAGAGGTTTAGTGTAATTTCTCAGACGTCAAGAGATAATATGTTTTAAATTCAAATCTCAGGAGTCTAAGTGTAATTTACCTCTTTTTAAAAAAGCATTTTTATTCGAGTGTAAAAATGTGATAATTCATTATGATATCTAAGAAATATTTTCTTTCTTATCTTTCTTAATAATTATCAACTAATTATAACACTTACATGTCATTAGATTTAGAAAATAAATCTAAAAAGTAAGTTTGTATATCATTTTCTTTTTTAAAATGGGGAATAACTTTCTTGCATACTCTTATTTTTCATATACTTTCATATTTAATTTTTTTAGCTCCATTCTAGATCCACAATAATAATTTAAACCATTAAAATCTCACAATGAAGACCCTGTGCAAAAAATTAGCTTTATCAGGTATCGATGAATATATGAACAAACCATTTTTTTATTTTATAGAATAATATGTTTAAGTTTAAACTCACAATTACTGTCCATTTAAAAAAGAAAAAGAAAAACAAGTTTCAATTTATTCATTTACCTAGTAATAAACGATAAAACTATTTTTTTGTTTTACATAACTTATCTAAATTATTAGGATTACAAGATGAGCAGTTTAGATTCTTATTATGGGTTTAGAATGGTACTCAAAAAATAAAATATGAAAGAATATGAAGGATAAGAGTATTGAGGGGAGCCCAACCCTTTAAAATGAATTTGTTTACGCACTTTTTAATTAGCTAAAAATAGGGATCTTATATTTAAAGATTTTGTTAATTAATGTGCTTAGGACATTTGTTAAGAATGTATTAAATGATACATATTAACTCCATTATTATAGAAAGTATAGAAGATGATAAATAGGAATAATTACAAAAAAATAAAAATAAAATAAATAATTAAAAAAAAACTAGAGTTTTAAGCTTATAACAAAATAAATTCCGGATTTTTAATTTTATTAATTTAAATCACAATATTTTTATTTGATTTCAATATAAATCATTCTCCTATTTTTGCTAAATAAAAAAAAAATAGTATTTTAGTTATTAAACTCAATTTAATATGCATAAAATGTCTAAAATACTATTTTTCATTGAGTTTAATGACTAAAATATCATTTTTTTTGTTGATTTTACTTAACGAAAATAAACTAATGATTTAAATTGAAAAAAAAAATTAGAATTTAAATTAATAAAATTAAAAAGTTAGGATTTAACTTATTAAAAAAGTCAAGCTCTAGGTTTTATTTATTTATAATTGCTCTTAATAAATACAATCTAACTACACTAACATACCTTAGGGTGGGGTGAGAGAAAGGTTAGAGGTTCGAACTAATGAAGTAATGGTGAACCCTTTCAGGCCTCATTTGGAAAGTAGGTTGGAACTAATTTAGTCTACCGAAACATAAAATAAACTAAAAAGTGACAGAAAACCAAATTTAAACCAAATTCATTTGGAAAGTAGGTTGGAACTATCCAATGGTAGAATACACTAATAATTTTATTTTAAACCAAATTTAATAAAATATATTTCATAATGAAGCGGCAGAAAACCAGATGCATAATAAAAAATTGGAGAGACAAAAAAGATACAAGTGAGATATTAGCTATTATAATATGGTGAAATTTTTTACATTTGTTGATACGTGGGCGCGGTTTGGGTATGACGAATTTTTTTGACTTTTTTACCTATTACGAAATGATGTATAAAAAAATAAAGAAATGATGTGATAGAAATAAGTCAATAAGCCGCTTGTATTTATCAAATTTACCTCATAATAAATTTATTTATGGTGAAAAGAAATGTTTTTTTTTCTTTGAAATTTTCCCCATAATAAATTTATTTGTGAAGACAGAAATGTTTAAATTTTTTTCCCCTTCAATTTTTTATGTTAAAATTATTCGTGTACTTCATCATTAGCTAAATATTATCTAATATGTTAATTATTAAATCATAAATAAAAAAAATGATAAAAAAAGATAAAATACAGGAAAATGAATAAAATGGTATTTTTGGTTTCAGTAGGAAGTATTTATTATAGTGATGTATATTTATTATCTTTTATACTTTGCATAATAGCAGAATTAATTATTATCATTTAATGCATTCTTTGGATATTTGTTAACAAAATCCTATATTTAAAAGGTAAATATTAACAAGTGCCTCTTAAACAGTGTTTAATGTTGAAAAGTGTATAAAAAATGTCTTAAAAATATGTTAAAATGTTCAAAAGCATATTTGTTTCAATAAAAGTGTATTATATTTAATATAAAGTGTCTTGTGTTATTTAATTTTTGTCTTTTAATTATGGCCTAAAAATACTTTTTAGCAAGACCCTATTTAAAAAAGGAATGAAGTGAACATTGGAGAGGCAGTGTTTGGGTTCATCAGTTCATCATAGATCTGTTTTGATGCTTCAAGTTGTTAATTTTTTAAAGCTTGTATGTTATCCATAAAATAATGAGGTATATTCGATAATCGTAATATTTTTATTTTATCATATTTATTTTTTAAAAAAATGAATAATTTGTTTTCAAAAACATAATTCTTGTTATTTTTTTGGAAACAAACTTGAAAAAATGATAATGTTATAATTCTTGGTTCGACCTAATTTTTATTTATTTATTTATAAATGACATAAATGAAGAGTTCTAAAAAATATATAGTTTGAAATATCAAAACGATGAGCTCCACGGGCTTAGGCAGCACCTCTCTAGTTTAGACAAAAGCCAAAGAGAATCCCATCCTGTGAAATATATATGTATATATATATTCAAGGGCGGATCCAAAGAGGGATAAGGGAGTCACATGCCCTCGTTTTAGATTTCTTTAATTTTAATTTTAATTTTTTTTTATATATGTTCAACGGAGACCAACAGAGACAGTAGTGAAGAGATGGGATACTGTAACAGTAGAAGGGAGTGTTAGGGATGGGGTAGGTCTAGATTAACGTTGGCTAACGTTGTAAATAGAGATATGGATCTACTTAATTTGACTAAAAAAATGGCCTTTGATAGGGTCGCGTGGAGAGGAAGGATTCATGTAGCCGACCCCATTTGATAGGACTTAAGACTTGGTTTGTTTTGGTTTGGTATGTTTATGAAGAAAATATTTTAAATAAAAATTATATAAAAAATAATTATTAGAATGAAATGTCAATGATATTTTTAAAACTATGAGAATAATAATAGTTGTTTTAATTGAAAATGAAAAGATTACAAGAAGTCATATTATTGTGTAAGAAAAAATTTCAATGTAACGGTGATATCCATTATTATTGACATGCAAATCTAATTAATCTCACTATGATATGAAATTTATTAGATTATTAATTATATTTGACATGTGAGGTTTACCCTTCATGTGTTACTTTACTATTAATTGACAATATTGAATTTCTACTAAATTTTGTACGAAAAAAATTATTTTATAATCATATAAATTTTTGTTTTATATTGTCCATGATGCTTGGTTTCACTTTTCAAAAAACACTTTTCAGAAAATTTTAATTTCTTATTTTTCATGTTTTTTTGTTTTTATTGATTTTTTTTAATATTTTAAGTAATTTTTTTAATTTTTAGGCATACCTAACTTAAATGTATCTAAAAAGTAAAAAAATTGTGAAGAAAATCTTTTAAAAATTCACTAAATACCCAAAATACAAAAAAAATACGAGAATTTAGTACATTTTTTTATATTTTATGTATTTATTAATTTTTTAAATTATTTTTTCACAATTTTTTTACTTTTTAGATACATCTAAGTAAGGTGCATCTAAAAAGTAAAAAAAATATTTAAAATTTAAAAAATATTCACTAAAAATAAAAAAACACAAAAACCAAAAAACTTAATTTTCAAAAAACTTAATTCAAAAAACTCAAACCAAAAACATTATTATCTTTCTCAAAATCAATTATAAATATTAATGTAAAATATTTTTGTAAAAATATTTAAAATTATAATTAATAAGTACTCCATTTGATTTAATTTTTTAGATCTACTATTAGTTTAAGATAGTGGGATTCATATTTAAAAATATATACATAATAATTCCATCACAGATATAAATTTTATTATTTTTTATCAATTAAAAAACATATATTCTGTGAACAAAAGCGGACTAGTACTTTCCAGTGTGTGAGTGATGACATACTTTTGTGGAGGAGTGAATGGTTCAATTTCCAGTTCTCCAAGTTCCACCATATAAACCCTAATCAGCACTCGTTGACTATTTTAACATGAATTAGAATTTCCTATCATATTTTTTTAAATGATTTTTTTTTTGTTACTTAAATTACATTGATTACTTCTGAAATTTGATAAAAATACAACAAATCTTATAATTTAAATATAATTACATTAAACTCCTTTAAAATTTTAATTTATATAACACTTATCATATTTTCATTAATAATTTGATAGTCATATAGATGAAAAAAATGATAATTGCCATCTCTTTTATAATTTTTTTAACGGGTAACTACAAACTCAAAACACCTCTATTTTACATTCAAATGTGTATTTTTCATTATTTATCCTATGTCTTTACATTATTTACATTAGTTTCAATATCTGTAACCATATTAAAAAAGAGACCCACGTAATTAATTATGTCAAAATCATAGAGTTTATTA